TGGGCCAAGCAAAAGCCAGGAGCTTTATCTGGGTCTCCCACATGTGTGTCAAGGGCCCAAACACTTGGGCCATCTTCCATTGCTTTTCCCAGGCCATTAGCAGGGAGCTGGATCATAAGTGAAGCAACCAGGACAAGAACTGACACTCATATGGAATACCAGTGTTACCAGCAACAGTTTTATACACCACAGTGCTGGCCACAAAGGGAAATTGTTTTGTAATGAAATTCCTGAAATCTTCCCAGTTTATTTTGCTTTCTGCTTATCTTCTATTCTAATTATTCATTGTTATTACTTAATTTGCTCATTTGCCATTTTATCACTTAAACTTATTTATTAGTCACAACTTTGGTTGTAGGGACAGAAGCCCAGATCAAACTTAGACAAAAGGTGGAATTTATTACGTTAGTTTTCTCAGTAGACCATGAGCAAGGCAGAGATGAAACTGGTCCTATGGACTGACTTTAAGACTGCTTGAGCACTACTCTCTTTCAGATGATCTCATGCCTCTCATTACAGATCGTCAGGGAGTTAGTCCAGCAGTTCCCTAGCGCCATGAGGAATGGGGTGGATTTTGTCTCCCTGCTCAGTTTCTGTATAACGCTGAGCCCCACAAAAGGGATCTTAGGGATGACTGTGGTCTAGCTTGGTCAGATAATCAGTGAGTCAGTCGTGTCAGATTATGATTGTCCTCAAGTCACTGAATGGGGATGGATGGGACAGGAAAGACATTTACAGCAGAGAGCATCTTTAGTGTCTACTAAAGTTAGCTACAGAACACAGTGTTCTGCCATCTGATATAAATGTATTTGCAGCAGGTATGTTCCTTGGTTTGGACAATCATTGTACTTAGCTTTAGGCTTTGCTTCAGGAGTGAAGTCATGCTGGTGGCTTATATTTAGGTCCATGATGTTACTAAACTTCAAGTCACTAGTCAGCTGTACCACTCACTAGGCCTGGAAGAGGAAACAGCTTAATCAAACACAGATTCCTCATTTAGGGAAGAGAGTGATGACTACAGGGAGAGAAGCCTATAGCTGTAAGCAGGAAACCTGATACCAGAATACATTATTACTGAAAGGTTTGGCTTATTTCTGTTTATATTGAGAAAGGAGAGTGAATGGTTACAGGATTGATAATATTACATTTATATTGGATTTGTTCCATGAGGTCTTTGGAGTAATAATACCAAATTCTTTTCTTTCCCCAGTGATCTCTTAATGGGCAATAAAATTGCTTTATTTTTATCTGTAGATAAAGATTGTAGCAGGGAAAATAACACCTATGATTTTATTGCTATTTTTATCTTCAGTTATAATTAAATGGCATTTTCTTTGACTAAACCTGACATTCCTCTCGGTATACACATATATACATAATACAAAGGATTCTTGACCTTTCTAATCCCAGGAGTCTCGCCATTTACTAAAGGAGTGCTTTGGGCACCCTCAATGTGAGTTTAGGATCCCTGTTGGGGAGGGGAGGAGTCCTCTCCATCAGTTTCGGCAGCTATTACAGGAAACACATTATGGGTGGAAATCCTTATCTCCAACTCTTCCCAAGGAAGGGGTTTGAGTGACTCTGTTCTAGACTGACCCGGATACTGTGGTAGTGGGAGTGTATACTTAACTTTACAGTACAGAAGATGCTTATTTGCCTATATATAAGAGCAGAAGAAAATAATTAAAATAAAAGTCAATATTTGGCCTTATATGGAAAAGTTACTGGCTGACATGTATAAGCATATGCCTTGTTTTTCTTTATTTGTGAGGGCATAAAGAGAAAATAAAAAGCATCATATAAAGATATAAGATCTCACCATCCAAAGATAACTGCTGTTTGCATATTGCAGTATATATCCTTTTAGATTCTTGATATTTTGTGTATGTTTAACAAAATTGGGAACATACTCTTATATGTTACAATACTTAAGTATTTTTAACATTTATCTCTTTTTTTTGCTGCTGAAATTGGTTTATTCTATTCAAATGCATAGTTTTGTTGTAACATATTATTTTTTTTCCCCAAAGAAACCTTTTATTTAATAAGCACAAATTTCATAAGTACAACTTTAGGAATATAATGATTCTTCCCACCATGCCTGCCCTCCCACCTCTACTCCCACCCCATGTCCTTTTCTCTCTCCTATTCCCAGCTCCATTCTCCATTAAGAAAAAAAAAAAAAAAGAAAAGAAAACTGTTCCTCGACAGTCAAGACAAAAGGGCTGTTCAAGTCATTGCTTCTCAAAATGTCAATTTCACTTCAACAGATTTCCTTTTAGGTGCTCTATTAGTTATCACAGATTAGGAAGAACAAATGGTATTTGTCTCTTTGGGACTGGCATATTTCACTAAGCATGATGATTTCCAGTTGCATCTATATTGTTGCAGATGACTGGATTTCATTTTTTTTACCTCTGTGTAGTATTCCATAGAGTACATATCCCATGATTTCTATTTTTTAAAGCTTTTTTATTGTATTACTTTTTTAAGATTTATTTATTTATTTATTTATTAGAAGTCTTTATTTAATAAATATAAATTTCAAAAGTACAACTTTTGGATTATAGCGGCTTTTCCGCCCATAACCACCATCCCACTTGCAAACCATCTCATTTCCCACTCCTTCTCCCATCCCATTCTTCATTAAGATTCCTTTTTAATAATCTGTATATACAGAAGATCAACTTAGTATATACTAAGTAAAGATTTCAACAGTTTGCATCCACACAGACACACAATGTATAAAGTACTGTTTGAAGACTAGTTTTACCATTAATTCTCATAGTACAACACATTAAGGACAGAGATCCTACATGGGGAGTAAGTGTATAGCGACTCCTGTTGTTTATTTATGACTTCAGTAATCACCCGAGGCCATACCCCATAATTTCTTTATCCAGTCTTCCATTGACAGGCATTTAGGTTGATTCCATGTCTTAGCTATTGTGAATTGAGCTACAATAAACATTGAGATGCAGACAGCTCTTTTATTTGCTGTTTTCATTTCCCTTGGGTAAATTCCCGGGAATGTGATGGCTGGGTCAATGGCAGGTCTATATTCAGATTTTTGAGTTATCTCCAAACTGTCTTTCATAGTGGTTTTATCAGTTTACATTCCCACCAACAGTGGATTACGGTATCTTTTTCCCCACATCCTCACCAGGATTTGTTATTTGTTGATTTCTGTATGAAAGCCATTCTAACTGGGGTGAGGTGGAACCTCATTGTGGTTTTGATTTGCATTTCCTTTCCCTGATGGCTAGTGATCCTGAGCATTTTTTCATGTGCCTGTTGGCCATTTGGATTTCCTCTTTTTTTTTTTTAAATTTTTTTTTTAATTTATTTTATTTTTTGACAGGCAGAGTGGACAGTGAGAGAGAGGCCGCCACGGCCGGCGTACCGCGCTGATCCGATGGCAGGAGCCAGGTACTTATCCTGGTCTCCCATGGGGTGCGGGGCCCAAGCACTTGGGCCATCCTCCACTGCACTCCCTGGCCACAGCAGAGAGCTGGCCTGGAAGAGGGGCAATCGGGACAGAATCCGGCGCCCCGACCGGGACTAGAACCCGGGGACTAGAACTCCGCAAGGCGGAGGATTAGCCTAGTGAGCCGCAGCGCCGGCCTAAGGATTTCCTCTTTTGAAAAATGTCTGTTTAAGTCCTTTGCCCATTTCTTCACTGGGTTGTTTATTTTGTTGTTGTAGGTTATTAATCCTTTATCAGTTGCATAATTTGCAAATATTTTCTCCCATTCTGTCAGTTGCCTTTTCACTTTCCTGACTGTTTGTTTTGCAGTACAGAAACTTCTCAATTTGGTGTAATCCCGTTAGTTAATTTTGGCTTTGACTACCCATGCCTCTGGGGTCTTTTCCAAGAACCCTTTGTATGTGCCAATATTTTGCAGGGTTTCCCCAATGTTCTCTAATTATTGGATGGTATCAGGTCATAGATTTAGGTCTTTAATCCATTTTGAATGGATTTTTGTGTAAGGTAGGGGTCTTGCTTCATGCCTCTGCACGTAGAAATCCAGTTTTCCCAGCACCATTTATTGAAGAGACTGTCCTTGCTCCAGGGATTGGTTTTAGCTCATTAGTCAAATATAAGTTGGTTGTAGATGCTTGGATTGATTTCTGGCATTTCTATTCTGTTTCATTGGTCTAACCATCTGTTTTTGTACCACTGCCAGGCTGTTTTGATTATAACTGCCTTGTAGTGTGTCTTGAAATCTGGTATTGTGATGCCTCTGGTTTTGTTTTTGTTGTACAAGATTGCTTTAGCTATTTGAGGTCTCCTATGCCTCCATATGAATTTCAGCATCATTTTTTCTAGGTCTGAGAAGAATGTCTTTGGTATTTTGATTGATATGCATTGAATCTATAAATTGCTTTAGGAAGAATGGACATTTTGATTATATTGATTCTTCCAAACCATGAACATGGAAGACTTTTCCATTTATTTTGTATCTTCTATTTCTTTCTTTAATGCTTTGTAATTCTCATTGTAGAGATCTTTGACAGCCTTGGTTAAATTTATTCCAAGGCATTTGATTTTTTTTTTTTTTTTTTTTGGTAGCTATCATGAATGGGATTGATCTTAGAAGTTCTTTCTCAGCTGTGACATTGTCTGTGTATACAAAGGTTGTTGATTTTTGTGTATCAACTTTATATCAACATTAATCTTGATAGAGTAAAATTACTGAGATAAATTTTAAGATCTAATTGTATTTTGTTCTGTTTGGTAATAATAGCCAATTAATTTATTACAGGTTTAGTAGATACTAATACCAACAAAAGGAAATTTTGGTTGACTAGACAAACGCATAAGGAAGTTTAAAAATTTAGAATATATACATTCTTAAGTGAGATTGGTTATTCTTTTTTGTAAATGTATTTTAGAGAATTTAAAGTTTCTTTTCAGTAAGTGCTTTTAATACCACTATGTTAATTTGGTTGTGGAGTTAATTGTGATTTTTAAAGTTGTTTTTCATTTTTCTTCCCAGATCCAAGTATTTTAGAACATGCTCAAGAGGTGAGCACTTAACTATAGAGGTAAGTAGAGTCATGAATTTGATTGGATAAAAGGCATCTTGAGAAGGGCATAAGAGACTTTCGCTTAGGAGGAAGGAACTGGACTCAAATTTAATCTGGACTACTTATATTTCAATATTGTTGGTGTTCTAATGAAGAGAGGCAACTGAGGGAGGGGGGGAACATGGAGAACTTTGGCAAGGATTAAGGTCCTGTTTCTAGGATAGATTTGAGTTTGTTTTTCACCCGACAACACTTAGGGAGAGGGGACCCTTCTGTCGGTAAATGGGACTCACCAAGGCAGTGATTCCAGAGACAGATTGTTGGCCTGCTTCAGTAGGGAGCCAAGTTGATTTTAAGCATCTCCACAGCAGAAATCACTGAGTCGCTTTTCCTTTGTCTGTAAAACACAATCATAAAAGCTACCATTAACTCAGCCCTGCTCTGGAGAATTGGTACTTTGTACAAGCCACTCTACTATACAACTAAGGAATATTCTTTGCATATAATCCTTGTAATAAATCTAGTGAAATAAATAAGTGCTAGCAACCCTGTTTTATGGATGAGAAATCAAAGGCTTAGACAGGTGGAGAAATTGAGCTCTATTCATTTTACACAGTTTGTAAGTGGTAGAAAATAAATTACAGTCCAAAACTACTAGGTTCTAAAGCTTGAACACTGAACTTCATGGCCTTATATATTGAATTAAGGCAGCATATAAACCAGGAAGGAGTTTTTAAAAACAACAACAAAAACACAAGCCAATACAAAAAATAAGTCTAAAGATAATTTGAACAGTTTTGTTATGTTAGATTCTGTTATTTTCTAGACTTTTTGAATTCATTGTTTCCCCTCTCTCTTTAAATAAAGCAGTATTAACAATAAAACACTTTTCTTTCTTTAAAGTGATTAAATTATTTAAATATTTTGATATGTGATTTAATAGTGATGACTTTTAGTAGGTCATTTTACAAATTAGCATTCATTGTATTATAACCAAATTGTTTACGTTCATATCTCTAGACAGACATTGTGTTTGGAGTTGAATACCATTTACTAGATTTTCAGCAAATAATTATATGAGTGAATAAATGGACATTTATGAACACTTAGAGAAATTCTTATTTGGGTGTCTTTTTAGTTCCTACTTTTTATTACATTAAATAACTTGTTTTGAACTCAGATGAAGTGGAAAATTCTTGCATAAAAAATTCAGATCAGAGTTTTAGTTTATAAGCTTCCAGTTTATGTAGAAAATTACTGTAATTTTCCTTTCCAATTTTCATAAAAAGTCATAAATAAAAAATAGCATATGTTTGCCTTGGTCATTTTATTAGACTGTTGAATATTATTATATGAGCTGATGTGTAAAAGAGCATATTATTTCTAAGGTGAGAAAAAGTGACATAATTGCTTGTGAGATAATATATTTTGGATAAATATCCCTCGTAACACTTGCTTTCTTTCTTGTTCTTTCAGTTTGAGAATCTAGTAGAAAGTGATGAAGTAAGTATTTCCTTAATTGTGCAAAGCCCATATTTTTCATTCTCTTAGTCATCTCATTAGTTATAACAATTATTTTAAAATTTTTTATTTTGTTTTAGAATTTTTCTTTTCCCTTATTACTTTCTGTATCATATCATTCTTTTATTAATTTATGTTAGCAAATCAGAATTTTCTACCATATAACATATAATGCTACACATGCACAGGTTTTAAAGCATCTTATGGAAATCAAAGAACTTTTTGTTTTTTCAACTTATTTTTTAAGAAATATAAATTTCATTAGTGCAACTTTAGGAATATAGTTATTCTTCCCACTGTACCCCGCCCTCCCACCCACTCCTCCTCCCTCTCCCCTTGCCAGTACCATTCTCCATTAAGATTCATTTTCAATTAACTTTGTACATGGAAGACCAACTCTATACTAAGATTTCAGCAGTTTGCACGTACACATACACATCAAAAAAAAGAAAACTTTGGAGAACTGGGCTGGTTTTCCTTTTTTTTTTATTGATATATATTTATTGTAGTGGGAGACAGGTTGACAGACAGGAAACAAAGGAAAGGCCTCCCTTTTTCCATGGGCTCTCCCCCCTCATGGGCCACA